GCCTGCCCCCGGTGCTTGCCGCCGGAGCAGCGCTGCCCGGCAGAGGAGCGTTTGGTGGCAGCGGTCAGCGCGGGGTCACCGTGTCTCGGCTGCAGCTCGCTCCGAAACGCGGGGGCTTTTAAAACGTTCTCCTTTCTTCACCCCTTCTTGCAGTCGCTTCCAAGTCACAGCGTTTGCCCACGAAGTTAAACCCGTCGCGGATTTTGGCCTGACTCCCGCCCTTCTGCAGGGTAGTGGCAGTTGCGTGTCGGCGGTGCCTGTGCAGCTCAGGAGCGAGGGTTTTGCACTGGTAGCCCCAGCAGCGGGGTTGGAGCCCTTGGGCAGGGGCACGCTGCCTGCTTCTCCTGCCCCAGTCCGCTGGGTGGGTCACCGCGAGCAGCAGTGTACTTTTTACAGTTCCTGCCGGGTTTACAAACGTTAATGCTTCTCAGACTTCAGCCTTGCGTAGTATTCAAATGTCTTATGCCGCACAGCATAAAGCAGATTGTTTCATGATCAGATTTACCAGGAGCGTTGTAGAAACGCTCACGGAGGTGCATGATGTTCTTCTAAACCGGGACTTTGCTTGTTCCTGGATACTTGGTTGTGGGGACCATTTATATTTACAAATCACACTTACATTTATGACACTAATGCCGGATGATGACATAAGCAGGTGTAAACTGAGGGTTAGATCCGGTTTGATGAGATGATTGCGCTTTACAGGCAACAGTTCAGTGCAGATGTGAAGTCAGTGCTGTGCAGTGGATCGAGCTGTATGGTCAGTTCTGGCCTAACACAAATACTCAGTTTAGCGGAGGAGTTCACCTCCGCATGGGCTGTCCTGTGAGTAAGCAGCCGGCTGGTGAGAGGAATGAGTTGAGTAGTTGTGGGTATGTACCTTAGGCCAGAGGGGTTGGGACAGAGCCATGGGTGCTACTGAGTCCTCTCCTCTCTTTCACCTGAGCTTGGCTTCAGCCAGTTTATTTTGTCGCAACAGGTTTGTGTGGTATGGTAGCAAAGAGCTGTGGAAAAAAGCAGGGCTCTGTCTCTGACATGTGTTCATGTCAGTGTGTCCTGTCCTGTGGTTCACCCAACTCTACTTATAAATTCTGTATCTAAAACATGAATCATATGATAGCTCCTAAAAAATTGCAATGCAAGCTTTTTACTGTAAATTTAAGCGTGACAGTAGGCTTGTTTTTCTTGGTTACCTTTTATTCTCCTCTTAGAAACAGGCTATAGACTATATGTTAAAAAGGACCTTTTTAGTTGCATTTCTACAGAACTTAAATCATTTCAATTAATTATTCTGGACTCCTGCCATTTCTTTCAGACAGGATGTTGGAGGAAATGGAAGATCACAGTTGCTGAGCAGGGAACGTTATAGATGGGAGAGAGATTATTGAAATGAAAATAAGTGGGCAGATGGATTTTGCTACAGTGGTGCATCCTTTTTCATTTGAATATTTGGATGTTGAAATGACAAAATGTATCCAGACCAAAAGGATTGCAAGGCATCAGTGACATAATCTCGGAGATAATTGCTTTCTGAGGATGGGGCTCTGTTGTACCGTTGTAAAATCTGCTGACAGATCCTTCAAGTCTTTTCCCACAGTTAAATCTAAATTATGGCAGAAAGATCACAGAACATCTATCCAGCTCACACAACAAATTAAAAAATCCAACAACAATGGAGGGCCTATATAGGTTGAAATGTCAAGTCTAGGAAAAATATGGTTTAGTTTATTTTAAGGTTGGTAATGTTTGACCATTCATGATCTTTAAGCAGTATTTGGGTGAGGCTACAATGGTAGGAAATAAGTAGTAATGGTACACTTTAACTAAACTTCAGCTGTCCACAAAGGTGATGCAAAGGCTAAATTTTTATATGTGATCAATGAAATAATTTTGGTTCCTGAAGACCAGAAGGTGACATTTTTATTAGTGAAGTCTCAGAGGAGAACCAGGGAACTGTGTGCTGGCAAGCTTTGGATCTCTTCCAGGCATATTATTTACAAACTGTGTTAAGGAAAAGAATTAGTAGCAAATAGGTAGGAATGATCTATTGAGAAAGAGTCAGCTTGGCCTTTGTCAAGTATGACGTGTCTCACAAACCTATTGGAGTTCTTTGAAGGTTATAATTATATGGGTAAGCGGGTGTGGTGTTATTTCCAGAGGCTTTTGCGGAGTTCCATAAACAGCTGTGAAATAACATGGAAATTTCTTGCATTTAGCAATAACTGAATAAAAACTGGGAAGCACTTTTTTTCTTCTTTTTTTTTTTTTTTTTCTAAAAGTAGCAGAGGGTCGCTGGTAGTTCCACAGAAATCTCTTGGACCTAATGCAGTTCAACTTACAGCATGGATTCCATACAGAAGTGATGAATCAATTTACAGCTCTTCAGCCTGAAAGATGGACAGTCTACTGAGAGGGTGTCTTATGCTGAGCCACTGCAATACTAGGCCAACACATGAAGTGAATAGCAAAAATCTATTTACTGTAAAGTATAAGAAATTCCATCTACTGGAAAACTGACATCAGGTATTCATGAGATACTAACAGATACTATGTTTGGAGACTTTATTCTGGGCTATGAGCTTTTGGTCTGTTTCAGCATATTCTTATGTGTGTGGAGGTGAGTCTGGAAATTTTAGATCCCAGGAAAACTAGAGGAGGAAAGAAAGGGAAATAAATGTAGACAACATCCCCACCACCTGGATGCCCCATTTCTCCTTTTAACCTTAATGTCCTCCCACATTCAACAGTGAACTCGCTCTGGGTATGAATTGTGAAAAATCTCAAACATGAAGCTAGTGAAAACTAGAATTTTGCTAGTAAGATTGAGAACATCCAGACCAGTAAGCCTTTAAACCTGGTCTGCAAAATTATGTATACAAGATGTTGCTTTATCAGAAAAGACAGAAAATTTTTCTCAGTGCTATGTTTTGTAAATCCTGTACCTGCTATCAGACCAGAAATATGACAGTAGTTATTTGCTAATACCTGTGTCTGGTAAATACTGTGCAGGAAGAGAAGAAGAATAATAGTTTGATTGAGAATGCTCCCCATATAATGTATTGGTTGATGATATTTGACTATGAATCCTGTACAGATGTTATTTACTTTAAGTTTCTTCAACTTCAGGTGTTTCTCCTACTAATATATTCCTGCTAATGTAAACATTCAGAAGACTTTACCTTTATTCCTTCTTGTTCTCAGAGACCACTGTGAGGTATTTTTCTCAGAACTGATACTGTTTCTACTGAAACACAGATCTGGAGAACTTCACAATTTGTATAATTTCCTTTAGACAGTTTCTACTTCCTTTAACTGTCTGTGCTTGAGGTCAGCAGCTGATAATAATGTGTTTCATCACACACAAACTCTTTAGTTTTATTGATGGCTAGAATTGTGTGTGTGTGTGTGTATGCATATAAATGTACCTATATGTGTACATAATATATGTTTAAACATATAAACAAATTAAACATATATACATAAACTATTAAGAATGTTCTTTTTATAAAATATTATGCATAAAAATTTGAAACTACTAAATGGTGATACAGTTTGTACAAAGCTTGAAGTGAAACATGCCATAGGGTCAGAGAAGGTTGGAAGGAACCTCTGGGGCGTTTAGTCCAACCTCTTGCTTGAAGCAGGGCAACTTCAGTGTTAGAGCTTGTTCCTAAAGGCCATCCTTGTCCAGTCAAATTTGGAAAGTGTCCAAGGGTGGAGATTCAACACCCTCTCTGGCTGCCACTTTCAAGGCTACATCACTGCCACAGAGAACTTTTTTTTTTTTCCTTCCAATCATGAAGTTGTCTAGATGGCCCAGGTTGTCTTCCCAATGTTTATCCTTAATTTCTTGAGTTTATACACATATGGGAAGCAACCACTATAGCAGGTTTAAAAGAAGCAAGCATCCCCTGTCAGACATTGACCTAGTGAGAGCTGTGCTGGGGCTGATGCCCTGGGCTGTGCATTTTGGCTGCTGCTGCTCTGCCTTCATGCTGTGCAGCAGTAGGGCCACATCCTGTCCTGTGGGGCTTCTCATCATGTACTTGTTTTACAGGACTGTAGGATTAGGCAGACAGTGGATAGGGTCTTTTAGACAGCCTTTTACAGACTATTACGGTGTGTAAGAAATGCATTTCCAGTTTTTCTGCATGGATTCTTTTAGATTGACTGTTCTCAAAATTTTTTCCTGATTTTAGACATTCTGCCTTCTTTTATTTTCTTTCTATATTTCTCACAGTAGGTGTGCACTGCACATTTATTTCGGGGATGGTTTCTGTAAAATCACACCAGCTTTCTTTTGGCTGGCTCTTGTTACAAAAGGAGCAGAGCAGGGATGGGCACTTTTGTGCCGACTCAGCATTTTCTGTTGTCTCTTTCATGGTAGAAGCCTGAATCAGCCCTTGGGCCTCATTTCACTTGTGCTTGCAAGCAAATGGATTTGTCTTTCCTTACCTGGCAAATGATTTTGAGTAGCCACAAAAGCCCCCCAAATATTGAATGTGGTCTGCATAATAATTAGCAGCTATAAAAATAGTCTTAGAGGTTTGTTCTTTAATTCTAGATAATTTTCTGTGTTTTGTAGAGAGTGCTTTTTTATATATGTTTATATATGTATATTAATATCTGTGTATAGATATACACACACACTGAAACTCCTCTGTGACCATCATTTATGCCTATAATATTTTTTGGAGGGATACTGTCTTTGAGTTTAGCATAGCAATCTTGTGCTAAGATTTTTCCAACTTTCAAAACTGCTTTTTCTGTCTGTTCCCAGATTTGAAGGTGATTGTCTTACAGTCTCACTTGTTACCGTGGTTTGTTTTGTTTACTAGGTTTTAAATACCAAATTATGTAGACTGCTCATCTGATAGTATCTCACCAGCAAATTCCCAGAATAAGCCTCAAGACTAGGTTTTGGTCCCTCTTCTCCTCCCAAAAAGTCACAGCATCTGATTTTGATGGGCGTTCTGCTCCTGCCAGGAGTTTTAGCCTGATGCCCTTCCAGGAAATGTCACAGCAGCCGGGTGTTTCCTCCTCAGACCACCACAACCACCTGACTATGCCCTGGAACTTCTCCTTCATCTGTTAACTCAAGGTGAAGTAACTGCAGTGACTTTTTTTTTTTTTTTTTTTCCCAGCGCCTATAGGGAAACGGAACTCCTTGAAGAGCTTATTTACAGTGGCTTGGCCTTGTGGGCGCGTCCCTTCCCTCTGAGTACGCAGCTGACGGGACGCTCCATGCCCAGGCCTTGCTTTGGCGTCTGTATTCCCGTGCTTTATGTTCAGTCAGAGTCCACAAAACACAACACTCTTCTTCCTACGAGCAGATGCTTTGCTTAAAATGCTTTTAGGGGTATTTGGTTTAGTAGTTTTGTGACACTATGGTTACTGGTTTCAGGTTGGGTTTGTTGTTTGCTTTTTGAGCTTTTCTGGAATGGATAATTGGTTACTAATAACTACATTAATCATAATAACTTTTAGTCCTTACTGTATTGTTAGTTTATGGGATTCCTTGCATTTATAAACAGGCTTTAGACCGGCAAAGCAGTGTGTCTCTGGGACATCTCATTCCTACTTCATACAGTTAAGTGGGGGAGTAATAAATCTGTATCACATTTACTTGTTTGATTTGTTTTAAATAAGCAGGCTTGCAGTTTATGGCAGTACAAAATACAGCAATGCTTCCACAACTGCTTTAGGATATTTTACTATTTTTGCTTCCTATCTTCTGTAAACATCTGTCAGTTTTCTTTGTCATTATGCTTTCATTTAATAGTCACCTGCAAACATTTCCCAGAAGAGCCCACATGATTATTTTTGGACCGTTTTTCTTTGCAGCTTCTGGTAGAGATCCTCAGCTTACTCT